TACACAATGTGGAGTTTCATTACATTTGTCAGAGACGTGGCCTTGGGCACCATATTTGGCACAAGCAGGTCGACCACGACAGCTCTGAGAGCCATGGCCGAACCTTTGACACTGGTAACATCGGCAGGGGTTTGGTATGTAGGGTCTGATCGGTGTCTTTGTATAGCCAGTTTCTATTGTTTGTGGTAGTTCACTGGTGGCAAAGGTCAGTACCAAATGTTTCGTGGGGGTTTCCTGACTGTTCCTTCGGATGACGATTCGCTTCACATTGGTCACATTCTGTTTCCAGCCCTCGAGGAGTTCAGCCTCCTTCAGGCCAAGGAGTCTGTGTCGGAAACAAATCCACGTGCAGAGTTCATGGATCGATGAGTGTTACGCTGATGGGAATGTCGCCGAATGTAGCAAAGTTCTTTAGTTTGTCAAATTGTGTTTTGTCACGGAGTTCTAAAAGAAGGTCGCCACTAGCCATTTTTGTAACTTTATAGCCATCGCTTAACGTGGCTGTCAGTGACCGCGATACTATGAACGGGGACACTGTTCTAGCTGTTTTGTTGAGCTTCTCACTGTGTACAACATGACAGCGAGGAATACTTCTTTGGGTCGGCTGAAAAAGGAAAATTCTTCGGTGCATACGCGCTTTGAAGCGGCACGATCATTGAGGAGTGGAAAGGTTCTATGCATAATAGAGGAATGTAATTCAGTAACGATGGCGGCCACCCACCACGGAGCCCAACGAGGGGACGCTACTAGATTCATGAAACGCCAAACATGCAGACGCCAACCGTACACCGCTACGATAACCTAATGCGCGTAGGCCAAGGTTGGCTAGTTGCACAAGGTTAACCCAAGCCGCCCATGAAATTGGGGAAGTAACAGAAGAAATGAGAAGCAGGATAGATTTAAAGATGAGAAAAGATGAAGATGTGGAGGGGAGAGAGATAGGAAAAGGCGACTGCCGATTTCCCATGGGTGGTCCAGCCCAGGGGTGCCGCCTACGTGAAGCCAGGGCCAAAGGGGTGTGTTGCTTCTGCAGGGGGCCTTAAAGGTCCAATCACCCAGCATTGGCTCAACCCCCAGGATTCCCTTTTCTCAGGACACGGCAAAGCCACGCACGGCTAGGCGTGGGAGGGAGTAGAAACCCCCCCGTTAGCTCGGGTCCGTGGTGTGCTACACACTGAACGCCTACTTACCCAGTCGCCCCTGCGGGGAGGTGTATGAAGCAGTTGTGAAACTCACTGACAGAAAATGTCTTCTGATTTATATTTCACATAAAAAAATATATATATATCTCACTAAGTCATCCACACGCTTTCGGCAACGTGCTGGAACAGCTGGTAGAAGCCAATGCCTACTTGTGCCCAATTCAGGAGGTGTTGAACAATTTCGTGCCTGCAGTGGCCCCTGGTGCAAAGTGCATAGACTACTATGTAATAGCTTTCATTAACCAAGGTAGTATATAATAACAAAAAAGGCAAATATAAAGTGAGGTTAGAATGGTAGATTACTCAGACAAAACTTTTTCAGCTATAGTCATGTGCAAATGGCGACTTCGTTGCACATAAAACTGCAGTTGAGGACAACACATCTGTTGTCAATCTTTCGAAAGGCAGAGATAAAAAAATGTCATTCACAAGCAAAAAAGAGCAGGAAGCTTGCACTGCACAAAACATTGCACATGTTATACTGTCAGGGGGAAAGGCAGTGCACTTGTTATTTTGGAACACTAATCAATCAGTTTCAAATGACCTACATATTTTCATATTTCATGCCAGCTTGGATGGTGATTCAAGTACCTCATACAACAAGGCAGGGACAGCTGTCCTGGTGCTTTTAACTTGTTCCAATATCTACAATGTTTGAAGTGTCTAAGCTCCTAGATTTTATTAGTAATATAAACTTGTATGTGACCAAGTACCTCTAGTATCATCGCTTATATATTTTGCATAGTTCCAGATAAAAAATTTTGCATTAACGCATGTCTGATACCTAATCTCTAGTTACAGGAAAATCAAAGAGCTAAGTCCACACAAAATTATGTTTCAAATATGGCATGACAATAAGATCATTACATTTTCAAATTAATATTACTGGTGTAGAACATTTAATTCTAGGACCGCTTAGGGCATTAAATGTCCAGGAAATGCCACTGGCAAGACATCCAATACTAAGCATACAAAGAACCAGAGCTGCCTACTTGATTAGGGCTGCTACAACCCTCCAGCAAAGACCCAATGACAATAATAAGGTTGCAGAAATGAACTATTCATGCGTCCTTTGCGTAGTTTAGTATAAAAGTTGCCGGAAAGTATCTTTCAGAAGATTTAGGTTGTAGAGGCACATGCGTGAAGCTTACAATGTCAGTATGCATGAAAAGAAATATTTACTGCACTATATACTACCTAAGCTATTCAAATGTAGCAGTAGTATAGCCACATCCTCATAAAATAAAAGCAAATACTGCTTATATCTTTTGAGGGGGCCCTGCCTCACTTTTTTTCAATACAGTCAGAACAGATTGCCAATCTGCAGTCAAGTCAAAACATTGCCCATTTTGAAGTCATCTAAAGTCAGACTGTAAGCCTACGAGCCAGTTATTTTGCTGCACTGCAAACAGTAGTGAACTTACAAATTTTCATTAAAAACAGCCAAGTATCACTTGTGCTCTCTTATGCAACACTGTCACCAACTACACAGCAAACAGTACAACAGGTATTGGGAGAATTCACGACTTCACTAATGGATAATCTCAGAAACCATGCACCGTGTCGTGAAAGCACTACGGCCACAGAGGGCGCTTTAACATGCCCTCACATATGCATCTGAACCATATGTAGCAGCCAATACAGCAAAAGAAAAAAACCTAGGACCATGTCCTGCTAGAGGGAGCCATGTGTAGAGAACCAAAGCAGTGGGCGCTAACGCTTACACTGGCAGCGATGTTGACGCTTACATGCCTACCAACCTGGCAACAGCGTTATTCCTAAAACCCCTAAGCAGGGTCCCCAACGCAAGCGCGAACATCGGCACTGCGATCTCATAATGAATCGGAGTAGCCAAACACACGAGGGTAGAGTTTCGCACAAAGGTGAGAGGCTCAAAGAGGGAGCGCAAATGCTCTCGAAATTTCGTATCATCAAAACAACTAGCGAAAAAATCTATTTCCGTCAAAACAACTCGCGTATATTTTCACAGATGAACAAACGGGACGGCGCAGCTGGCTGCCGCGAAACGCGGGTCAAAGCTTTGGCTTTGCTCGCTACTAGATTCTTTGGACAGAACGCCAAAATGCTTCTAGCCTTTTTTACATCTTTACCGCCTTTATCTTACCGCTACGTCAGCTACGTGCCCTCAAGCTCACAGATCACTATCACATCGCCGCGACCTCGGTTTTGTGCGTGGCGGTTGCAGCAAACGGTAGTTTTGTTTTCAATCCATGTGCCTTCAAACTAAATCATTTTATGCTATCTATGATTGCAACCGCCACAATTTTGTATACACAGTTTTCAGTAGGCAGCGTTGCTTCGACTGGTCAAGCATTGGCCACGCGCACACTTTCGGAATTCTGTCAGCAACGTCATCGTCATAAATGATTGTGTCGAACGACCGCGGTTTCGTCCACAGCGGTTGTGGCTACGACAATCACACGCACTGTAGAAGACAGTGCGTGCGCTGGTCGCACGTGTACTTCCAAAGCTTCGAGCACGCTACTCTCGATCGACTTTCGTTTCATGGTTTCGGTACTAAAGTTTAATATCATACTCCGCGATTAGGAAAAGTGTTTGAAACATTCAAATTTTAGCCCAATGGACACATGAATTCGGCAGAAGAATTTCACAAATTCGTATCTGCCATGGTATCACATCATCAAGACTCTACTGTAAGTTCAGATGAACACCTCTCAAATTCAATTATAATAAAATGTAATAAGCTCGCAAAACACCTGGAACGGACTGACTTGCATTTTTGTCAATGCGGCCAGATCTCACACACAAATTTCGATTTTCTGGAGATTTTCATGGAAACCATATAAACGGAAGAAACGGTCGAAATCCGGGAGCCTCCCTGACAATGCAGGAGACTTCGCAGGTATGTGATAATGATAACATTAATAGTACATATTGTTCTCTCTTGGTGGCGGCATATAGCACAACACCATTTTTGTGGCCTCCATGACTAGCTACGGCAATGCGCCGTAGCCAATTGCGGAGGCCACGCTATTTTAATAATTTTATTTTTTTATCGGAAATGAAACATTTTTCGTAAAATTTCAGGCAAGATTCGTAAAATCATAAGCGCAGTCGTAATTCATACATTTTACGGGAAAATCAGAAAAGTTGGCAGGTATGCGCTTACGCTCATAAAGCGAAAGCCAAGTAATGACGCCCTTGACTGAATTTCGAACGCACGATTCAGCGTCTACATATAGAACGTGGCCAGTGAACAGTTGGGCAGCGTGAGCAGTCAGTTTCTTACAAGCAGACGCTGCCTGCGTTGGCCTTGCGAGGTGAGAGGAGCAGCGACAGTTTTGGGCCAGCATGAGACGAGAGCATGCGCAGTGGGGGTGTATGGAGGGACAGCATTACACAGGCTCAAAATAATTTGTGCCCAGAGATTCATGAGGCAACTGAGTCCAATAGTACAGTTTATGATGACTCAGAAAGGTTTTGTGGAGCCCCTCTAACCAGGACATTTAGGTCACATTTGCACATTACCAGAGTCACTATTGCTCATTTTTATTCTTAATGACAAACTCTGAAAGGTAATAGCAAGTTCCGCCCCATCTTCCAAAATTTAGGAGCACAAAGAATATGGTACAAGCATTGCTGCTCAGTCCAAAATCAGTTCTGCTAAGTGGAGTATTGACTAAAATATTTTAGAAAAAGAAGGATTCTTTCAGAAAGGAGTGGTCGATAAACCATGCCTGCCCAGGTTAAAATAAATGCTTAAAAATACACCAAAAAATATAGATGTTTTACAGAGATTTATGTAGGCAGACTTACGAAGAAGTCCATTGCCTGGGGTGTCTTGATGGTGCCACTGCGAAACATGAGCAGGATCATCAGGGCCACTGCAATGAGGGAGGCCAGCAGAAGCCATGTGCTCTCTTGGTTGCGTTCATATACCAGTGGTACACCAGCATCAGCAAGAATGCCAAGGCTTTTCTCAGCCATGCGAAGCTTCTCTTCGAAATGCTCCACATCAACAATGTTCATGTGGAACGTCTTGTGCTCAGCCTGTACTACCAACAGAGCCATTATTAGTGCATAATTCTATTTACATAGAGCAGTGTCAATATATCCAACAAGGGCACAGCAAATTGCAAGCAGCATAGCACAAGGTTATCCTAGGATGAAACACACTCTTATAATGAAACATGTTTGCACACAGACAGTACTAATGTCATAGAGCAGAGACTGCACCAAGCTCATATCTACCGATATCCCCAGATGTTTAGCCATGACTGACGACCCTTATATTTATTTATTTATTGGTACCTCAAGGGTCCCGAGAGACATTACATGAGGGGTGGGAATCAGAAGTAAGAACAAAAGATAGAAAAAAAGAAAACAAACAATTAACAACTAAGTGATGATTGATATGTGGGGTTTAACGTGCCAAAACCACCATATGATTATCAGAGACACCGTAATGGAGGGCTCCGGAAATTTCGACCACCTGGGTTCTTCAACGTGCCCCCAAATCTGAGCACACAGGCCTACAACATTTCCGCCTCCACTGGAAATGCAGCCGCCGCAGCCGTGATTCGATCCCGCGACCTGTCGGTCAGCCGCTGAGTACAACAAACAACAATAAGAAAATACAAAATGCAAATACAAATAACGTTGCCATGGCAACAAAGCCTACAAAAAAAACAATGAATCTTCACATTAGAGAAAGCAATATCAAATTCATTTTCAATGCACTTGCTTGTGAACACATTCCAACATTTGAATTTAGTACCATTGGCTGTTAGCTTTAATTAATTCACTGGGTCAACAAAAGAAAATGGCAGACCTGGCACTCCACGGCATCAGTTATAAGGGGGCACGGAGTGGCCATCTCCCCGCCTCTACCACAATTTCATCCATGAGAGAGAGGGGGTGCCTTGGCCACATACCTTATTTACACAATTGTAAGTAGACTGTATGTAGGTCAACCCTACAGTCATGACCTTAAGTCAAGTAGTGCGAGAAAGTTGTGCTAGAGCAAACATGGCCTGTATTCTCTATGTATCAGTCCACTAAGCAAATGAAATAAAATTAAAAAAACATGTGGTATATAATTAAACTTTCGCAGGAAGGCTTTTCTAGCACTTATTTTAATTGTGGGATGCCTAAAATGAAATAAAAATTGATCAATAATGAAAACCCGGTATCCTGCTCATAAGAAGACTGCTAATATAAGGGACAAGAACTACTCCTCATATGTGTACTTAAAAGGGGTTCAACATACCATGAATAACCTTTTTTCTAATTGTATGTACCAAAAAGTGCAACAAGTATATGGTAACATGCACAGGTGATATTTTCATTACAACAGCCTGAAATGTGCACTTTAAGAGCACAAGGTACGCTCGTAATACTACTTCTACGTTAGAATGTAAGACTGGAATTTTCCACGGCGTGCAGGGAGTTGTGCACAGTGAGTAGCACGCTTGCTTTTAAAAAAAAAGTGTGAGGTTAAGCCAAGCTTTTACATAGTGAATGATGCATTGCACTTGCTTCGATCATTTTTCTCACCTTTCTTCCTTTAATAATGGCATTATCATGCAAGTAGATGGTCACCAAGTCAAGCTCTGGTCTCACAATGATCTCCTCGACCTGTTAAAACACATACACGCACAAGAAAGTACAATAATATTGATGTGAGGAAGGCCCTACTATTAATGCACAGACATTGCTAAAACCAAAGAGAAATATATATAAAAAGTGGCCACTAGAACGTTTACACGGCCGAGAAAGGAAGGGTCTGACCAACCGCTAGATGGCGCACCCATGCTCCCTTTCACTCATTATCAACACTGCAATAGCTGCCTCAGGCGGACCAAGAAGACCCAAGTTGGTATCAAACTTTTTTCCAAGAAAAAATCTACTGATTTGCACAATTCTCTACATCAGCTTCACATTGTGTCCTGCTGAAGACGTTTATTGTGCTACCACAAAAATCAGTAAAGTCTGACTAAAAGTGTTGTCTTTCCGCACTTGTTTTGAACAAAGGGTACACATTAATGTGGTTTAGATCTACTGCACAGATGTATTTTCTTTGTGGAAGCATGGGTGTGTAGCCTAGTGGTAAAGACACCTGCTTTCGAAGCATGATAGTATGGGTTGAAATCCCAGCCTCGGAAACAAATTTTTTTGTTATTTATTTATGCTCAAGACATTATCGGGCCTGACCACTGCTCGTAGCACTGAAAGCAGCGCAGTAGCTCCGCTGTAGGGTTCTACAGGAGTATCCGCTCTTTACTTAGGTGTGTTTATTTATGCTAAAATCACAAAATAGACACGCAATTAAATAGAGACACTGTGCTTGAATCATTCAATCATTTTTTTTTTTCAATAAAAGTACAAGTTTAATATGTTGTTCTACTTGAAATTTACATTTATGCATGCAGAAACACACCACTCCTTTAAGTTGAACTTGGCTTACTTAATTCTAAACCTATGCAAGATGTTTCAAATGTGGCTAGCACAAACTTTGCACTTTTTTGTGGGCATGTTGTGTAACAGAAATTACCACATGAGTCATACTATTGCTTAATTACTTTTGAAATGAACGTACTTGGGTGAACATTCACACTGAAAACTTGAAATCTGCAGACTACTCCAAGCAACTCCATTTCTGCGACTTTTTTACAGAGCTTGTGTTCTAAGGTAATGGCAGGTGGCTGCTTACATGAAAAACGTGCATTCAATTCTGGTTATGGTACACTCTAAAAATGTATTGAGTAAAAAGGGTGTCTTTTTGTCCCACAACAATAATCGTCATCAGGCTTGCATGCGCTTCCTTTCTTGAAACTCGGCGCTGGGCACTTTCCTATCGAGAATGCAATGTAACCCTGATAATGGGCATGTCGATCGTGACCGGAATGTACCGGGTGCGGGGCGATAGCGCAAGGATGAAACGCAATATAGATGACGATTACTGTTGTGGGACAAAAAGACACCCTTTTTACTCGCTCTTTTTTGAGAGTGTGATCACATTTCAATGAAGGGAAACATTAGAGGCTCGTGCACTGTATGATCTCATATTGTAAGATAATTAGCGCAACTTTGACTCCCAGAAGCACTCATACAATCACTCGCTCATCCACCCAAGAAACACACACGACGCTCCGCACTCACTACAAACTGTTTAATGCACCTAAATGACCGTCTAATATACGTACAGAAAAATGCGCAAGGGCAATGATGAACAAAAGGTGCACATGTGGCAAGCAATCAACAAGCGATGTATGTAGTGCCGCCACCCAGCAAGACAGTAAATGAAAAAAATTTACAAAAATAAATACAAAAGCAGATATACACGCAGGTTCTCGGAAGGAGCTTGCAGTCATCTGCACGCCTTCTGTTGAAAGCATATTTTATTGAAAAAAAAAAGAATGTGTTAGTGAGCCATCTTTGGTGTTACTTTAAACAGGAAATATCTTTTCTTGAGGCAAGCATTTAGTGCTTCTATCTAGTTTATCTGCCTTTTGTATTTTTTTTCTGCAATTCTTTATTTCTTACCTTGTTAGGTGATAGCACTACATGCATCGCTTGTGGATTGCTTTCCACAAGCGTATCTTTGATCGTTTGTTTATCATTGCCCTTGCGCATTTTTCTGTACGTAAAGAGGGTCATTTAGGTGCAGTAAACAGTTGGTAGTGAGCGCAGAGTGTCGTGTGTGTTTTTCGGGTGGATGAGCGAGTGATTGTATGAGTGTTTGCGGGAGTCAAAGTTGCGCTAATTATCTTACAATATAACGAACCAACTAGCACAACAACAAGTTTTTTGGGGCTATATGATCTCAGTGCATGCTAAAAATCAAGGCCAGTTGTACCCCAAGTGAAAGTTGTATAAACTGCAGAGCACTGATTCGCCTGTGTTTCCCCCATGTTTTTGCTTTTTTTCTGTCCATTTGTAGTGTTTATATACTGTTTTCTGTTCTTTTGATTGTGATTATGTGATATTTCTATCCATTCCACTTTTTCTAGCGATTACGCAATTTGTTTTGTTATAACCTATTTTCTGTTCTATTCTCTCTTTTCTACTGTTTTTGTCCTGTCAACGAGATTGGTCTGATAAGTGCTTAACCTTCAAAATAAAAATAAAAATTTTGGGAGGGTGTTGATTTATTTCTCAACATAGTCCCCTTTCAACTCTATACACTTGTACCAGCGATCCTACAACTTCTTGATCTCGTCATAAAAATATGTTTTCTCCTGAGCTACAAAGTAGGCTTCTGTGGCGGCAATAACTTATTTGTTCGACTCAAATTTTTGTACGGCAAGTCACTTTTACTAGTTGAGAAATAGAGGAAATCACTGGGGGCCAATTTTGGAGAATACGCTGGATGGGGCACCACTTTCTTGCCAACTTGGACGCGGCAATGATGATGGAAGAGCACTGTGTTCTTTACAAGTGTGGTCGTTTTTTTTTTCACAATTCGGCATCGCATCGGCCCTATTCGGTGCAGTAGGGTCCTGTCACCGTTCTGCCATTGTCAAGATAGCTGACGAAGATCAAACTTTGAGAATCCCAGAAAATGGTGGTCATCACCTTTCCAGCCGATGCGACAATCTTCACCTTCTTCGGAACAGGTTCTTCAGGTGCCGTTCACTGTTTCGACTGTTGTTTTGTCTCTGGTGCGTACCAGTGGATCCATGTGTTGTCGCCAGTCACAAAACGGCACAGGAACTCCTTCGGATTACGCTTGAACAGCCTCAAGTACTGCTCTGAAGTGGTCTCACAGACGTGCTTGTTGTCCATAGTGAGCAAACGTGGCACCCATCCCACAGACAGCTTTCTCATACCCAAAACTTTATGCAGAATATGACCCACGGCCTTTTGAAATGCCCACTGTCTCTGCTTTCCGCACACCTTCAGTCAGCGGTCTGCCACTACGAGATCATAGATTTTCACCACGTTACCGGCCATTTGCTATTTGCGGTAGCTGTTTGCGGGGCCTCTGGGTGAGGCTCGTTAAAGACCTACTTGCGACCATTTGAAAACTAAAAGAGCGAATTTTTGACAGTTGCCATCGAAAGAGAAGACTCACCATAAATAGCATCCAGTCGCTCTTTGATTTCGCTGCGTGATTTTCCTTCCAAAAGCAAGAATCGTATCACCTTCCGATACTGCTCCCTTTGCATTGTTTAACAACACACAAAAATCGTCTGCTTCCTCAAGCCACCAAAACAAAACCACGAGCCCGATTCGTCTGGACCTTTGCGTGTATCCCTCTAACAGAGCGTACTCAACGTCAGTATATGTCTCGCGATAGCGTCCCGCTCTCACAGTGAGGCTAAGTACTTATCGGACCACCCTCGTACAGCTCTGAGCGTGGCGCGTTCAGCTGCTGGTGCTAGCATTTCGCCTCTGCTTCTCTCATCCGTAGATCTGTGTCCAACTCCTGATTCTGACGGTTCGGTGCCACTTTGCTGGCTTGGACAGACGAATTAGAATTAGCCCTTCGGCACCGCTGTTGTTTGTGTCGTTGCCTCGTGTGTCCCGTTGGCGACCTCTGTGTCGCCAACGGGACACAGGAGGCAATGACACAGTTGTACTGCTCTGCAGTTAGAAACTGCAGTATACTGGCATCAGTCACTTTGGGATGTTAAGCCCAATATAACAAGTAAACCAAATAACAAGGCTTGTGTTCTAAGACGACAACATTAATATTCGTATTTACTCTCACCTTCTAAAGCAAAAATGTCAGCACAAAGGTGTGCATATGAATAGCCCATTTTGAATAAGCACAATCAAGGACCAAACCCGGAACCTTCAAATTTGAAAGTTGTTGCTTTGTTCTTGTGGGTGGCAAGTTGTTGGCAAAAACCCAGAATCGCTCCAACCTGGTCGCCAAAATTATGGCTGCTTACTGCCATGAATTTAAAGTGTGCAGCTATTTCACAAACATTTTATTTCAGCAGCAAAAATAAAAAGCAATAACATCCACACACGGGCTTTCTAGATATATAAAATTATGGGATTTACCAATCTCAGAGAAAGAAATATATGAAGGGGAAAGGCACAAAGGCAACCCAAGTTTTGGCTCAGTTTACTGCAGGAATGGGGAAATCATACAAAAGATAGAGAAGAAAGAACAGTAAAAAAAATACGAATGAACAGTTAGTTATGAGGGATGCTGCAATAGGGAGTTCTGCATTCAATTTGACGAAATAGTATTTAATGTACCCCTACATCCAGATACACAAGCTTTGGCATCCTACCCTCGTTGGAATGAATCCTGCTATCCAACAGCTTTATGTTGTCGCAATCACAATGCAGATATAAACCTGCGGGTTAAGACACATAAACTGTGCAGATGCCTGATAGATTAGATTTTCCTGACAATATGTCATTACTGCAAAACACATTTGCCAGACTGCTACTGATTCACAAAGCATATAACAGCAAATTGGGGCTATGGTAGATCTAGAACCCATTCCACTAACGTGAAGCTAAATTGCATCTGTGGGGCTAAACAGGTGTTCTATTTATTTGATAATTTCACTAGAGTTTCACAAGTAGCATTTCACTAGAGTTTGCAGTTAAAAGAAAGTGCTGATTCACCAATTATATTACTGTACACAGACTGCAACACGTCAAAAATTTTGAATTCCCTACTTTCCCCCCCCCCCCCCCTTTTCTTTGTTCCAGTTTTTGTGCCCTGGGATACTGACTTTTAGCATACCTTTTATTTCTGGCTTTAATTAAAAACAATACATTCAATGTTGATGACTATCTAAAGTTGTAAAACCTAGACCCTCATAAAGTAAGAGTCACTTCTCTAGTTTTCACCAAATCTTCGATGCTTTGATAAAACATCTTTTAATGCAGGTGTAATACTTAGCACCACAAATATATGAACATGAAAAAATGACAAATTACGAAATCAAATACAAAACTATTCCAACTGTCTCTTTGCTCTATCTGTTATATGAAATATTATAGACAGTTGGGCTAGTTGGTAAGACAGCACGTTTAGGTACAGCGCGAGAATGACAAAGACGGAGGGAATACAGAATAGAGACAGACAGTGCTCCATCTGTGTCCCTTCTGCACTCTTCAGTCTTCGTTTTTCTTGGGCTGTACCCAAACATGTTATAAAATAAATGAACAGTAATGTTCCATTTATACAGTTTACTTTAATGTAAATGCTGTGTACAATGCTGTCAAGTAGTTTATCCAAATATCTTTGCTTTGTTCTCAGCCTCTGCTGTACTATACATTATCTCGTAACCTCTTTAGGTAAGGCCACTGTTATAATGTACCAGAAAGTTCAACGCACTTGTTTATGTGATGCCTAATTGCAGATGGTAATACAATTTATTCTTATATGGTACGATCGTTGTGCAAGCTTCATACTTGGTCTCACTTTACAAATGTGGAAATATTCAACATTCGATTTGATATCCAAAGCCTGTTGTTTTTGAATACAGACATTCAATTAGAATTTTGAAATGTCACTGCTTGCACACCTATAAACAGTGCAGGCAGCTAACGATGTGATTACAAGATTGTGACAGCTTTTACTTTACCTCTCCTTTTGCCAGCATTTGGTAATAAAACTCGTTCCATGACACATAGCGCAGCACATCTGGTTGGTTGCTTGTTGGAAACAGGAGGGACATTAGTGTGATGACTATATATGCTGTCATCATCCAAATGGCTGCCTTGGCAAGCAGCGAAACCTTCGATTCTTCTGCATTGAAAAATAAATAAAATTAGGCTCAGCACATTTAGTACGTTCCATTCATCTAAAACAATTGCAAGGCACTCACCATCTTCCTTATCTTTGTTATTCTTGCCATTATTATCTTGTCTAAGAATACAATTTGTGTGCAAAGGTCTCGCGCAACCTGGCAAACGAAATTGTACAATAAAACTTCAAATTCAGCAATTCACCACATCGCAGTCGCCTTGGTTATGGCTTACCTAGGTCGCTTGAAACTACAGGCTGGTTTCTAACAAGAATGCCAGATCTCTTTAAAAGCCCTCCAACAGCTTTTATTTCGGCACTGAGCTGGCTGTAAAGCTGAAAAGCACAACAGTAAAGGCGCTACAATAAGACTACTTAACTTTGAAACAACAAGTACAAGAACAAAACATATCTATCACGCACCCGTTTTGACGACCGACTTCCCAGATAGTTGCACGAAAGGTGAGCTATTGGTACTCCTTGCAATCCTTGAAAACCTAAAGTGCGCAAATATCTGTTTATCAACCTTACTGCAGACAACACGACCACGGACTTCCGATCGCGAAGTTTTCTGGTGCTGCCGACGACTGACTTCACTCCTCGAGACAAACTCAACATGGTTCGAAAGACAAAAGACAACCGGATTAAGAAACGCTGCAGCCTTGTCCCTCACGCTAATTAACTTGTTTTAAGTGCGTATCATCAGTACGCCGCATCTGCGGTCACATCACGCAGTTGCTCTAGCATAGAGAAAACCATCGAACGTTTGTCTGAACTCGGTCAAGTTTCTGCACGTTTCGCCTGCAATTTTTTTTTTTTTTTTCTCCCTGGATACGGATGGATTTGTATATTGTGGACTTACGTACGTCCTCTGGTTGTTATGTGTTAGCTTCCGGCAAACCCAACTATAACAAAACTGTGTGCATAAAAAAATAAATAAAAACAGACAAAAACCGGTCACTTGTTTGATAAACAGAAACGTAGAATACAGGACCACTGAAAAATTGCTAAAAATTGTTACGGACGTCGCGGGTGATTTGAACTGAGTCTGACTGAGTCTTCGTAACAAGACCCCGCCTGCTATCTCTAAATGTCATTTGACTAATCTAAATTCTATTTTGCAGATTTGCAGAGAGGTGTATCGTAATGAGCGAAAGAGAAAGCTGCCCCCGTGTGCTCCCATCTCCTCTCTTCATCTTTGTTATCCTCTCGCCATTCCCGACATGCGCGTAGCCGTGGCGTGTCCCAACTAGGGTGCAGAAATAGTATTTTCCTCTCCTCCTCCTGTTCCTTCTCTCTGTCTCTCTCCTTCCAACGACGGATCATAAGCGCCATATGTAGGTTCCAGCTTGCTTTGGACGAAGGGGAGTCGTGTGCCAACCCAACCAAAAATTAAAACGACTTCAGTTCTATGTTGACCCATATATACATGACCAATTGAGTTGGTCATAGTCCGAGCTTGATCAACATGGTCGGGCTGAGGGGGATTCGTTAATGGTCTGACACCAGTTAACCTGTGATGGCTGCCAACAGAGGTCCAAGGCCGTAGGCCGGCGTTGTAGATGGCAGGGAATGCACGGATGTATTAATAACCTTGTGAAAATTATCTAACGCAATCTAGCGACAGCCAACATACTGAAAGCTCATTAAACAGATTCTCGCTGACTGAGAATTAATGCGTGTGGTGTACGTAGGAAAAAAAAATTGAGCCCACAGTTTAAATTACAGTGTTGGCTTGTAGCTCAACATAATAGGTAGCAAAGATTTGCCCTACAAAGGACCACGTTTGGTTGCCCGGGCATTAGGTGCCGAAAATTTTCCTATCATTTGCTGACCGGGTACACGACTGCAGCTAGGCGTCTTCGGGCAATCTGAGAACCAGGGAAATTGGTTGCCAATGAAGGCCCCACTTTGTGCCACCATTGGTCGGCCGACAATAGCGGCTGCCGAGCACTTCCCGCTTGTTTAGCCACCATTGGTCGTTGGCCAATTTCAGTTGAAAACGGCCACACGTCATTGTCGCATATATTTATTAGGCAATATTCTGAGATCCCACATCACCTTTCTTCTATATCCACTCCATTTATTTTGATCACATATTTTCCCTCTCCTAAAGCCTTCTGTTCAAAACAAAAATTGATCAAAATACTGAGCTGTTGCCGAAATGCCTCATAGATGAACAAGAACTCCTTTACAGACGTCAATCCTGGAAACAAAATTCAATCAAATTGGCTGGTTAAGACTAATGAATAATCTATTGCAGCATTAGCTTGTCAAGATTAGCCATATTTTCATCTGTCAAGCAGCTGTAATTCTTGAAAATAATAATTATTGGTCTTGTGTAACACTGAAAAAATAACACTCTCATATTCCTGGGTTAGGCGTAGAAAAATGGCCTTACTGTACACTCTTAAAAGGGATGCTATGGTAGCGCCCCCCCCCCCCCCATAAAATTGAATTTCACATTTTGACACTGAAAATCCACTGCACTCTCAGGACTAAATTTGTGGAAATCCAACGTCGAGCAGCCGCTCTATTGAGCGGTTTAATTAAAGGATGCTGAGCGCCCTCTGGCGTAAGCAGTAGGTGTGCACACATCAATCAATCAACCAATCAATAAGCTAATCAATCAATCAGATTTTACTTCTCCTTGAGAATATGGGGGTAGCGGGAAAAAAGCCGCAGTACTGCGGCCTGACAAAGCTCCGGCCCTCTACAAAGTCGAGCAGCAAAACAGTCAAGTAGAATAAAAAACTGTGCTGGAAATAAAACATTTGAATTCTATGCACTAAAACGGGTAGTGGCAACACATAGTTGAAACTAGGTTAAATGTAAGATATAATATTTGATTATTTATGACACATTATACATAATGAGGCACATTAAAGGGGCCCCGAAAGACTGTTTTGGGTAACCATGGAATTAATTCACTGCAAAAGCGTATTACCTCACAAACTGAACGCCGCAAAAATTTTAAGAATCCGTCCAGTACGAGCGAAGTTACAAAGATTTGTAACACGCTGCAATCACTTTCTCCCTTCTCTCACCCCGACGAAAGCTCTGAAAGCTGAGCAGGGATAAAGCCCCTTGATCTTTGGCTTTACGCAGGAGAGATGGGAGGAGTAAACAAAAAACGTCACTCGTGCCTCGTGACCTTAAGCATTTTTTTTCCCCTTCGAATACGGGCTTTCACAGTGCGATCGCGCGCGCATTGATGGATGAATGGATTGATATGGCTGTACCCACATCAATCGGGTACAGCCACATCATCGATCGGGTGGCGGCTAACGCCACCTAACCACAATACTTAGTGAACCAACAACTAGATTTATCTTTTTTGTTTCCCTTTAAATAGTGAAGTTGCGGACTGGTACTTTGCAGTGAAGGGTTTAATTTTCACTCGCGCCTTGACTTTAGCCACCAATCAGATAACCTCCTTCTAGTTAATTCTACCCGCTTAAAGTCTATTTTGCCCTCCCTGTCCCTAAACCACAGTGCTTTGAAAAACTCTGCGCCATCATCCTGAACTATAAGGTGAAGCCCTTTACAGAACATTATCAAGTGTCCCGCAGTTTCTTCCTCCTCTCCACGTACACTGCATACCGTGTCTATACCCATTCGTAGTTGGCCCGATATGTCTTGGCTCGCAATACTCCCTTCCCATCCTCAAACAGTAGAGAACTACCCCGAGTATTATCATAGATCATTTCCTTGGCAGTTTTCCTGCTTAAAACTTCGATAGATCTCTAGTGCGGACTTCTTAATCATGCCAATCCTCCACATGTCAGTCTCCGTTTCCTTCACCTTCTTCTTGACCTATGGTTCTTTTTGGTTTGGCGCCCTGCACGCGTTAGAGTCACAGGAAAAAATTTCAGAGTTTCGCAAAGGTAGGCTGCATGCGGGCAACATTGTGCGGCGGCGGCCATTTTCCTTCCGGGCCGTTAACGCATTGCTAGTGAGCGTTGAGAAGACCCGAGTTCTCCGCATGAATATCATGTTCTGTTCGATGATACTGTAATATTTTTCGTTTGTTTCTGGAAGGGATACCCCAAGTGATTCAGGAGTATTGATTGTTATGAACGTAACGATTGTTATGAGCGGTAAGCGCCGTAGCTATATATGACATTTGCGGCGATGGTTTCGTTGCTGTGGAACGCTCTTCGTGGCATTGGGAAGCAACTGGCACGAACATTATCAACGTGCTGGCAGCAGCGTTTAACTCCATAACATTACTACAATAAAATTCTGGGCAAAACCAGAAAAGCATTGTCCTGGAGTTAGCATTTCAACAAGAGGACTACCTTGTTAAAATTTATGGTCAAGGCTCTGGCTGCTCATACTCGCCAGTTGTTATCCAAGTAAATCTTCTATGGAACTCTGTGTTTTATAAAGTGCAGATTCATGGTTAAAAAACACAGGCACAGTACGAGGTTCTAACATCTCATTGGCCGCATATATCCAACCCATAGAGCTCACTGTTAAGACCTGTGCCATGAATAACTTCTCATGCTTCAGTGTTCTTGGACATGCATAAACTCTTAAGATTGAATAAGTACTCTCGTATATTTTGCCCAGTACTGTGCAGTTGCGAGTACTGAACAGTTTGCATTTACTCATGTTACTGATTAGTGATTTGTAAAGCACTTTCGGCTTGTGTGCTCTTTTGATCCTTAGCTAAGAGAGAGTTTTCAATCATTAAGTCCGACAAAAAAAATTAATATCCGAACATCTGCCCCAAGCTGTGCAAATGCTTTTAAAGGTGTCGTGTACTGTAGCCCTTCTATCTCATCTAAGATTGTAACAAAGTATAGAGCCCAGTTTTGATTATGCACAAACAATTCTGGACTCTAAGCTTACATTTATGAAATTTTAAAACGCTGCTGCAACTCTCTCTTCCACAAGCAGCAACTTCCATTTTGGCATAAACACAAGGGTGTAACCCCTAAATTGTGTTGACAATTCACTCAAATGCATATATAGGCACGCAACACTAAAAAATACATTAAAAACATGACGTATCATAGACAAGCATATACAGCTCTTGCAATTGCTTCCTTTATGTACAGTGTGTAAAAGCGTGGCCTTCAAGAAAGGCTTGTGGTACCTGAGTTGCTTCCATGATTCCCAGAGTATTCGCTTCATCAAAACGCATCGGTACCACGTCATTGTGTGTTTAAATTGAAAAAAAAAACCAAATAGAAATTTGCTGGTCGTTTTTTTTCCACTCCGAATGAAAAAAAAATGCAATACTCTAGCACGCGTGGACGAAAGATTGCCTCTCGCGGTGACCTCCGTACCAACCGAGCGCGCCATGTTCAAATCAGCCAATGGCTGATAGATGGCTTATTTTCCGTGATTTGTCGAGGAAAGAGAAAGCTATTTTTAGCTGCTTTTGATAAATAATTGTGAATTTCAGGCCGCGTGCTGCGCTATATTATTCGCTCGCTTGTTGTCGGGAGCCTTTACACCGATCGGCAGCGTTTTTCAACCATGCTCAAAAAGCGTTTCCGACCCCTCTATTGCTATTCAAGAGGTAAAAGGAAAGAAAGACACATCGCAATTGAAAATGTTGTAATATGTACAAATAGGTTTATAATTAAAGCCAAAATATTACTATGAAGGCAATGAAACAACACAAGAAGAAAA